CAAAGCCAAGATCGATCTGATACGCGAAGCCGAGATCAATCTGATACGCGAAGCCGGGATCGATCTGATACTTGAAGCAAGGGCAAGACAGTAAAAGTAACGCGAAGAAACGCGGACCTCGAGCTCAAACCCACTGCTCACGTTTTATAAAAAGCATGACTTGCCGCCCCCAAATGCCCCCAACCCCCTCCCCCCCAAACGGATCCTTAGTCTCTCGACTTTTGCCAATTGAGCTCACTTGGCCATTTTGGGACTAATTGAGATCATCTTTATATTGACGAGGTATTAAATTTAGATAATTTTTTTCTTGTTTTCTACACGAGAGATCATTTTGAATCATTTTTCAATAGTCACAGGATTAAATTGAAATGTTGCAAAACTCTGGACTATTTTGGCTATAAACATTTGCAAAGCTCTAGGACTAATTTGGCTATACATCTAAATAATTATTTGATTATTTTCGAATTGAATTCAATTTAATGACAAGAAAGATTCACAATTGAATGCTATGGCACATTGAGAGGGGTTAAATTAATGTATTTAAAAATTTAAAAATTTTAATTTTAATAATGAAATTTAAATGAGTTATAATATGAGAAGGTTTATGAAATTTAAATGCAAGAAATGTAAAACACACATAAAACTTTTACATGATTCGACCTCTGCTAACTCTATGCCTAGCCGAATCCACAGGCTACGATTTTACTACCTAATCAATAAATCTCCTTCACACATAGCGTAGGTGGAGAAACCCTCGCAATTCAAAATCCAAAGTTTACAATAAAAAAAACTTTTATAACACAACTTCTAAGAGGAAATAAAAAAAAAATAACTTTCAAATTTTGCTTAGCACTTGATGAAATACTTTAACAAATCAAAATTGAAAAGAAACTTTAAGCAATCTCACAATCCGTCAATCATCACACAAATCGTTTTTCTCTTAAGCATTCTCACGTGTAAAGAAACTTTAAGCATTCTCGTGTATTTCTCTTAAGCTTGAAGATGCTTTGATGCACTCTTGAAAGTTTTTCGGTCTTAATGAAGAATAAAAGTAAAAATATTCCCCGAGTTTATTTTTTTTCATTAGCCTCTTTTTCATTCAAAAGTGCTTTTATTTATAGATATGACAGATTTCATTTTATTATTGGTAATAGCATCATTTTTTTTTTATTTAAAATCATATTCAAATAACTTTAAAAAAATGACAAATCAAATTTATAAATTCTATGCGCCGAATCTTTGAATACCTTCCAAAAAGAAAATCGGCAAACTAATTTTATTTTTGTTATTGTTATTACTTACAATTTTCATGCAATGGTTAAGAATATAAATGAAATCTAATATAATTTTGTTAATGCTATTCTTCAAATCACGTTGGAAAGAGATAAAAAGGAAATTGATATTTAATGCTTGGAGGCAACGTTATGTAATTTATATTATGTTATTAATTGTTTCCAAATGTTTCATTTTCGGTTGCAGTTGCTGCAAATAAAAGGAATATAGAATTATAATTTCTTTAGCATTAATGCTTTGAGGATCCATTGGAAATAAATTCTAATAACAATTCATATACATCTTAAACTATTCCTAAATGACATGCATGCCTATTTGTAATAAGCCTTGAGCAAAGCAACGTTTGAATATACGTAATGGAAAGAGCATAAACATATTAATATATATACCTTCTAAGCGCCTCAAAATTTTTAAAACCGTTAATAGGTACAATTGAATATGCATAATGCCATTTAATTTTGTGAATGATGGTTGAATCAATGTATTAATTATGGCCATTAAAAGTTAAATTTACTGATGTTTTTTCAAAGCAAAATAATATTTTTCATAATTTTATTTTTTATAATTTTCTTATTCATTGAAATGAATAATATCAGAAGTTTATGAAGTAATATATATTTTGAATGACATTCTCGATTTGATCTTAGAAAAAATAAAATGCAACAATATATTTTCATAGCTATTAAATTAAATTGATGTCTTAAATATTTTTTGATGTAATGAGAATTAATGGTATCTATAAACTTGTAGTTTTAAAGAAGATAAATTTGATGGAAATATGATTAAGAAATAATTTTTTGGCATACAAATAATTATAGATATAAATTTAAATAAAAAGTTCATTTTAATAGTTAAGAGTGATGTAAATTTTTTTCGAAAAATATATTTTAACAAGTTATGAATTAGTCAATGATTTTGAAAATAAGTTACTAAATTTTAATAAAATAGTTAGCTAATTTTTACTTATAATCATAATTTAAGTTGTAGATGCAAACTCGTGCTTCAAGCTTCAAGCTTACAGATAATCATGTGATCCTAAAGTTTCTTCATAAGACAATATTAGCCCCGCCAATCATATGTTTGTTATCATAAAAATTATAGAGTTAATAATCTCCCCTTTTTTGTTGATGATAAACTTATGTTGGTTAGATTAGAATAAGGTGTAAAGTAACCTTAATCCACGCATGCTTCCTAACATATGTATATGAAGAAACTACGCAAAAAAATATTAATCAATTAATTTAAGCTCCCAACAAATATTCTCTCCCCTTTTTGACAATATCAAAATGTAATGATAAATGAATGTATGGATATAAATATAATGAAGCCAAGTGATTAATATAATCATATATTAGGGTCTAACAATCCTAATTTTCTTCTTAGTTCACAAAAACGATTTTCATCTAAGACTTTAGTACAAATATCAGCTAATTGTAATTTAGTTGGAAGAAATTCAATATCAACATCACCTTTAGTAACATGATCTCTAATCAAGTAATGTCTAATCTCAATATGTTTAGTGCGTGAGTGTTGAATTTGATTTTTAGTTAAAGTAATAATACTGGCATCTTCACATTGATTGATATATGTTCTAATTTAAATCCATAATCTTCAAATTGCTATTTTAACAAAAGTACATAAGCGACACAACTGCTTACGACTATATACTCATCTTCTGCAATAGGTAAGTCAACAAAAAATTTGCTTCTTAGAAAACTAAGATGTAAGGGACGATCCTAAAAATTGACATGCTGCAGAGGTGATTTTTTGATCGACTTAACAACTAGCATTATGAGTATCAGAAAAAAAAAAAATCATGACACATGATAATGAATGATACCACAAACCTAACCTAGTTGAGCCTATCAAATATCAAAATATACGCTTAACTGCAGTTAAATGAGATTCCTTAGGGCTGGCTTGCAAATGAGTACAACCACATACAACAAACATAATGTCATGCCTACTAGCAGTGAGGTATAAAAGAGAACCAATCATGTTCTTTCAAAATATGTTATCTACTGGTTTTCTAGATTCATGTAATTTTTATTTAGTAGTTTAGCTCATGGGGGTCTTAGTAGATTTAAATTTCATGTCAAATCGTTTAAGTCATTTGTGTATTTGGTTTGACATGTAAAAATGCTTTTCTCTTGTTGTTTTACTTGGAAGTCCAAAAAAGAAATTTAGTTCTCCCGTCATACTCATTTTAAATTCCTTACTCGTCGTTGATGAAACTCATGACAAGGATTCATTTGAAACTCCTAATAAGATATCATTTACATAAGCATTCACTTGATGAAGTGCAACTTAGGTGAAATAATTTTTAGAGATTTTTTCATGCATTGCAGTCCAAACATTCCTATTACATATTTCACACCCCAAACTTATATTTTACAAATAAAACACACAAAACATGCCTTTTATCACAAAAGAATACCCTGTTATGATCTGTCATTTACTTCGTACTCCATTCGACAGCGCGGGAAAAATCATTCTCCAACACGCGCGAACTCTCTTTCCAATGCACAAACTCCCCTTCTCCAATGCTCAATTTCCTTCTCCAACCCCGTAAGAACTAAATCTATATTCGTGCAATCACCTTTACCTAACCTTTTATCAAGTTTGTTCCATTGATCTAGCTTAGGCACAAAAGACTAAAAAAGTTGAGCACCTGTATCAGAAATAGATGTAAAAAGGCCACGACAAATTGAATGAAAAAACAAAATTGCTGTTCTTGCTAGGTCTTTGACCTACAAGTGAGAATAGACCAAAAAGGAAAGGACTCTAATCAACAGGGACTGATAAATAAAAAATAAAAAAAAAGGAATCACCAACCTGCGGTGCCGGTGAAGAACACAAATTGGATCCTTTGCCTTCGAAGCTCTGGAGATAGTGGGAGGAAATCCTCTGAGCAGGAGGGAGAGAGCAATTGAAAAAAATGATTGTTGAGGCTGAGAGAATGAGAGAAGTAAAGATGACGAAAGTTTGATAGCGTGTTGCCAGCAGATTTTGTGTTTTATTAATGAATTAAAAATTTGGAGTGTGAAATATGTAAATAGGATTATTTGGAGTGCTACGTATGTGAAAATCCCTAATTTTAAATATTTTGATTCTATTATACAGAAAAATAGGAATATAAATATTGTTATAAATTTGAAGAGTTATGATTGCGTCATTAAAATGAAAAAGTACTCTGAATGGTTAACTTCATAACACTAGAATTAGGGTGATTATGTTCTATGGATTTCGGTCTTGGGAAATGAAAAAATTCTTTGATATCTAAGTCGAACATGGAGGAAATAAAAAGAGTTCATGACATGGTAATACTTGAATCACATGAATGGATGTAGTGCCATCAATTGCAGATAAACTAAAATGCATCCATTAGATTAGTAGATAAAATTACTATTAGAAGATTCGGGAGTGGACTCAGTTAACTTGGGTATAACTTGCTCAAAATAATCAGTGAAGGTGGAAGAATATATTTAATGTCTCAGGTAATACTTCTTTGGAATGAATGAAACATAAGATTTCATAAATATGCCCCTGATAGTTAGGTATAAGTCTAAGGAAGATGATGATGGTTATACAAATACTTTTAGATATAACCTGTCATATTTTGTGCATATAGTGCTGTAATTTATTGCATATTTGTTCTCATTATCTAGTTTCTTCTTGTTAGATGTATCTTATATTTTATTTTGCAGATACGGTTTGCCTCATCTTCAACTTTAGCTTCAATGCTGGATGGGCATTCGGTTGTTTTTCTGCAACTAGCAGAGCACAGAGAATCCACTAAGTGTGGGTCATTTACAGCACTTTCCAGCTCACTTGGTCAAATATTGATGCAGTTACACACAGGTGCTTGGCAATATTTTTCAAAAAAAATTTTCTCGAGTAATTGTCTGTGATTTATTTTGTAGGTTAATTTGGGCCCGTTGGTCTTTGAATATTTGGTGATGCAAAGCAATTTGTGAAATCATTTATTTCTTCATCTAGTGTTCCGAAGTAAAAATGAATTTATTGGATGTGCTATCTACTGGTCTGTTCAATTTACTGTTTAGTTTGCTATGTTGACAAATTTTTTGAACCAGTTGCATCTTTGGTTTTGATATCTAAATACATTCATGAACAACAATCTCTTGATTTATGAACAAAAATTTCATAGTACTAAATTAAAATAATGCGTTCCATATAATGATGTGCGCTTAATTTAATCTGCATGTTTCGATCTCTTATTCCCATACATTTATGTAGATGGGTCTACTCAGATACTATTGACCTTGTTGTCAGATAGAGCAACTTAATAAAATTTTGTAATTACTTTTATCCTTATAACCGATAGAGTAATTTAATAAAATATTGTCGTTATAAGAATCTCCATACAGCATTGCAAGGTAAGTTACTATTCGATATATGAGTTCAAATTGCCTAATCCTATAACTTTTTTATGTTCATAGTTTTAAAGAAGTTACATAACCTTCGTAGATATAAAATCCTTGTAGTTTGATTTTGTTCTTACAATACAGGTGTACTGTACCTAATAAAGAGCGAAAGTCATGAGGGATTGCTCGTATCCTTGTTCAAAGTTTTAATATTACTAATATCTGCTACACCGTATGATTCCTTTCTTCAGATTGCTTTTTTTCTTTATGTATGCTTTATTAGTCCAGTTAAACAGCTTTTGAAAGATATTTGCATCTTTGTGAAATAATATATAATTTGAGTGGTCTCTTTTGAACCTCTATAATTCTGTGTTCTTAAGTTAGTTTTTAATTTTATAATGTCTTTAGTTTTTAATAATTTATAAATACAAATCCCTTAGACAAATTAATCGCATCTGCTTTGAAGATTTTCTTGTCCTTTTTCTTCAACAGGTATGCTCGAATGCCAGATTACCTTTTTTCAAATACAGTTTCTTCTGTGCATGATAAGATAAAGCGAACCCTTGCCTTTAAAATGGACAATGTTGGCCTCCAGGTTTGTTCCATTTGAAGTTGTTCTTGTTATAATTTGTCTGGTAATCTTTCTTATCTTAAGATCATTTGCAGGCAACTGCTGTTAGTTGCTTGGGGGCAGCACTTTCCAAATCACCTCCTTCAGCACATGCATTGAAAATGCTTGAAGAAGGTATTTCAAAAAACTCGGGCATTCTATAGGCCAAAAACTGCCTCAGTTAAATAATTTATTTGATATTGTGCTCAAATTAGTTGCAACGTATCTTTGTATGTTGTAGTTTTTATTTTAGTTTAGTTGGTAGAGTTTTTTCTATTTACCAACGTTTTGAGCTTTTTGCAAAGACTTTAACTAGGGAAATGCATTCCAAAGTACTTTCAGAGCTATGATCATAGCTTAGTGCTGGAGGAAGCTTATTCTTTTGACCCTGAAATTATGTTTCTGTCTTTATTTATGAATGTTTGGACCAAGGATTTTAAGCTCTGCTTCCGTTTAGTCTAAGTCATTTCATGAAAGCTTCAATTTCTTTGGTTTGGTAGTTTCAAGAGTCATTATTCTGTTTTGGTTTTGGTTTCAATTTTAATTATAAATTTAAAACTTAAATTTGGCAAATTCTTTTATTTTATAAAAAAAATCATCATAAATTTAGGAATCAATAATTTGTGCATATATATGTTATTCTAATGGCGGCGAGTCCCTATAAAGCTGCTTCCTTAAATTAGATCACATACCCGGATGCCAATATGATAGGTAACGTGTTCTTCTAGTTATGAATGTAATTAAAATGTTTTATTTTGGATATATTATAAATTAGAAAGTAATTACATGATATGCTATTATTTATTTAAGCTAATCGTATTGTCATAATTAAATTTGAATTTAGAAAAAAGGCATACAGATTTAGTGTATTAATTTGTTTTCGAAATTTATGAACTTGCCTATAGTTCTAAATATAATTATTTGTATTTGGTTAGTTTATCTTTTTCTAAATTATATTAATATGGTTAGCTTTATCGTGAATGGTTATCTTATTATGATTTGTATGATTATTTATTAAAAAAATTTGTATCACTTCCATACATTGATTAATTAGCAGCTGTTGCTTGTTATTTTTTTTTAAACTTTTTACTGTCTAAACAAACTTGTCATTATATTTTCAATATTCCAATCATATTGGAATGATGGTCGAGATATGTTTTGAGTTTTTTGAGCTATCCATGCACATTTGTAATGATTCTAGATAAGGCTATAAGTGCCTAAGCACCCGGTGTATAACACGATATTTATTCATAAAAGGTTAATCTATATTTATTTAGATAATTAAAAAAATTTGAAAAAAAAAATTCATGCTTCATATAGCTTGCTTGATTATTTAAGTGTGTGAATATGCTTATTCATTTTTAGCTAAGAGGTCGATAAAATACTCACTTAATAATAATTTATTTACTTTTTAATAACTTATTCTATATTGTTGTATCAATCTTATTTTTTTTATGCATGTAAATAGTTATTTATGCTACTAAGTAGTACAAGTCCAATGAAAACATAGTGCAAATAATTAGATGGATAGATTAAAAATTTCATTAAATTTTGTTAATATTTGATAATAAAATAATTAAAAATCTAAAAATTAACATTTGATAATAAAAATATTGAACAACAAATGACTCGATGCATATGCTAGAGATCAAAATTTATTATCAACAAGATGTTAGAAATAATGTTAAGTGAATTAATGCTAAATTTTATTAAAAAGTTATGAAAATTTTTATAATTTTTAACGTAATTATTCAACAAAGTATCCATTTCAACATTCACGAACCAGACATATTAATATTAAATTTCATTTTATTAGAGATAATGTATCTAAAGGAGATATAAACATATGATTGATTGGAATTTATTTTCAAATTACAAATATTTTTACAAAGTCTTAAAATGAAGAATGAATTTTTGCAATTCGAAGGGAATTAGGAATGTTGGATCTTAATTTGTGATTGTTTGTTTATTATTTTTTAGTTACAATATAAATTTAAGTTAAATTAAAGTTGCATTACTTTTTCATTTTGCTGAAAGGGGAGAGAAATATATAATGGTTGTTTTTGTTATTTTCTTATGCATATAGTTAGGTGGAGATTCTCAAAATAATTTAGGATGTTATTTATTACTGCAATTGAGATTTCAAAAAATGAAGCCTAGTTCGATATTTGCTATCCAATTTAGCTCATTTATCATCATGAATGAAGCCTATTTTTATATATGCTGCATCTTAATTGATATTTTGTTTGTGAATTACCACATCGGGGAAAATTGGACTATCTCAACATATATTCAGGCTAAGTAATATATGAATTCATAGGGTAGCCCTTTCATTTTTTAGATTTTATTCCCACGGAGGATAGCATTGATGAGGGTTCGGTTATAGAACTGGAGCACGTTTAAAATCTTATATTCTGGGATTTGAAATGATTTTCTTCACAACTTTTTTTTTCATTTTTATATTTGGTTTTAATTTATTTTTCTATTACTGCATTGTCGACACTATTTTGGTTGGCAGAGTTGCCCATAAGAAGCTGTCGGTCCCCAGAATTGAAATCCCGTCGCCCGCTTCGGAAGGATGTTTTTATTTACATATAGATTTAAGTTTAGAAAAATATGAAATCAAACTGACCCCATATTTTTCATAGTTTAAATGAAAGAGTGCTATACCTCAAACCCTGTATTTATCCCGAAGGATAAATACAAGACTTAAGGATGAGACTTGATCAAATAAACTAAGAAATATATGACGTTCATTTGGTCTGCGAAACCGTTTTATTTGCCGACAAGTTCCCCTATTTAATATGAAGAAAATTAAATAGGGTTTATATTAAATTGGGTTCGGAAAAGCTTCCTATAAGGGCAAGCCCCTATAGTTAATTACATCTTAGATAACCGTAGTCACCTAAGAATATTTTCGATAAGAATCAGGAAATATTATTTTCATGAACTTCAAAAGGATAGGACTTTTCAACAAAATCGGACAAAGAGGTGTGAAAGAGGTGAAAGAGGAAAAGAGGAATGATTCAAATTTGGAACATTTTGCTGTAGAGTCCAAAGGAGAATAACTAGGGGATGCCACATATCTGAAGGAGAACCTCAACGACTTTCCAGTCAACCCTATGGTTTGGCTTCGGTTTTGAGGAGAAATTATTCAAGTGTTTGATCCTGTCAATTTTATTTAATTAGGGTTTACATTTGTGTGAGATGATCACACGAATAGCCTGAAAGATATGTGGATTTAGATCGTGACGAACGACAACCTCGGAATTCTAAAACAAGTTAGGGCTTAGATTGCACAGTAGAGCTGTAGAAATGCCTAAAAAAATGTTGAGGATTTATGTTGCACTATGCAAACAAACTCAAAATTCTATGGCTTGGTGTTTTAATTTCTAAGGAATGATTTAGCTGGTATAGATGTGTTCTGCTGTTGAAGATGACCGTGCTGCCCACAACGCTAGCTCCAAGCTCCTTGCCGTAACACCTTCGAGTTCGACGTACATGCAATTGTCTAGTCAAGGATCTGTTACCGGGTACCCCCTATAAAACCAACTACTGTCCGCTTATACTAAGGTATGATGTGCAAGAGAAACAGTAGCATGTATGGCGAAAAAAGCAGTCAAAGCAGTAGGGCATGCAACAGTTGTACAATATATAGAATAACAGTAGAGTGTGTAGTACAGGACAAACAGTAGAGTATATGGTGGAAAAGAACAATACAACATGCAGTGTAAAGAAAAAGTAGGAGGTACGATAGAAAAGCGGCTGTAAGAAAGTAACATGCTGTAAACACGAAACAAACCTGTATACTTGGGAGGTCCGTTGTTCCTTTAAGTGTAATTGATGTGGCAGTTATAAGTAGAGCAATGGAATTTAAGGAACGAGCTAGCAGGCATCATATAGGCAAAAGTGAATTATATTCACTGTATAAATAAAAAAACGTTGCTTGGAAACTTCGAAAAAATCCGACAAATAATTCACGACGGAAAATTCGAGAAAATTGACGAGTAATAATCTAAGTAAAGACTGTAAAAAAAAAAACCTCGGGAAAAAAAAATCCCGGAGAAAAGACCATGAGTGCTTTGTCCAAAAATTCTAATAAAACATATGAAAAAGTCTGAAAGAAAGAGGGGACCTCAAGCACTCGGGTCAGGACTAGGCTCAGATATATATTTGTACTCGAGGTTCGTCGAAGGCTATTCGGTCACCCGGATGTATAAAACCCGCCACTCGACTAGAAGGGTGCCCTACTGAACCTAACTTAGGAGGGTACTCCTTAGCCCAAAACAGGTAATCAACAGGTGAACAATCAATTTTTTAAAAACGTATTTAGAATTTATATTTTTAGCATGCACATAAATTTCAGGAACACAAAAGAGAGTTGTATCAATTTTGTTTGTAGCGAAAAATATAACTTTGTTTGAGAAATGTGTATATATTCTTATCAATTTTGAAAAGTATAGTTGTCCACGAGTCGATCACGCTGTCGGGCTTAGGACCGCCAACAACTTAAGAAGGTACAGATCAACTCCCGCTAGTCTTATGTCGGTGAATGATACTTTCATACTACAGTTCACCGGGTCCGTGGGGGGTGTTCTGATGTCGTAGGATGGAATATCATTCTGCTCTACCACCGGTGTGTCTTTGTCATCACTGCCTTAAGCCCCAGCCCCAAAACAAAAACCGCCAAAACAAAAACCGATCTACTTGCGACCTTGTTTGATGGTTTCACGTATAGCAAAATGCTATACATGTGCACTTTTGTATCGGACATAAGCACTGAAAACCGAACCAAAAAGCAAGGAAAGAAAAGAATAAAAATGGAGATGAGAGAGAGGAGGAACTGATCCACCTAAAACATCGAAAAAACTGAGAATGAATCAGTTCTCAAAACTCATGAGGAAAAAACTTGAAAAAGTAGGACCCAAGGACCTTGAATCAATCCGAAGGGATGTCACTTTCTTGCATTTTTAGAATTGGATCGACCCGAGGAGCGTGTCCCTTCCAAGTTCTATTTCGAGCGGGTCGAAAGAGGCCCGAGCCAACATGACGATCACCCACAAATGACCTACCTCCTAACATCGGTGTCCAAACCAAAAAAAAAATCTTCTATGGAATCAATTTATCTGAACCAC